TGACCCTATCCTATAGCATTACTGACGAATATCTTTCATATCACCATAGAACCTTCATCTGGTGATGGATGGAGATAGAGACAGAGACCCACACTGGAGCACTGGACTGAGCTCCCAAGGTCCCAATGAGAAGCAGATGGAGGGAGAACACGAGCAAGGATGTCAGGACCACGGGGGGGTGCACCCACCCACTGAGACAGTGGGGCTGATCTATTGGGAACTCATCAATTAAAGATTTTAAGGGACAGAATGATGTATCAGATGGCAAAAACACTTGGAACCAAGCATGATGTCATACCTAACTTTCATCCCCAGACCCAAATGACACAAACTATCATGTGCAAGTGTTTTCTGATGTCCACAACTTTGCAATGTCAAATATGTACCTAGAAACATGCCCCACACAGACAAACAAATGTACACTCACAAGGACACAGAAAAAATCTACTCAATTAAAATGTAATAAAAAGTTAAAGAATTTATGAAAAGGGAAAGAAAAAAAAACAGAAGAAATGAACCCCAGTAAGGAAATAAGGAAACACCACATAATTCAGTAAAAGAGCAGAAAACATTTTTCCTAGAGCTTCCAAAACTTTTACATTCATCATTACTTCTGCCCATAGAGTCTTATATTTGATAGTGCACGTACAGAACTACAAAAATAAATCCCTCATATTCAAGCAGCAGAGCTTGTATTAATGTGTTACAGAAGGAATAGAAAGATGATACTAAGTTATTTTTACATTTTCATTTAAAGGCTTTTTCGTACCTAAAGACATAAGAGACATTGAGCCCATTATTTTTTCTGGGCTTGTCTATTTTTTACCACTGTTTGAACACAACATTCTTAGGCAGCAGGGGGAAGTGTGCAGATCCAGGGCTGTGTGGGGCAGGCAGCTGGTGAGAATCTCAGAGAGGTTTTTGTTCAAGGCTGAAGCACTGTGGGAGGAGCACCATAATGCTTCTGACAGTAATAATCTGCCATGTCTTCAGACTGCACACTGCTGATGGTGAGAGTGAAATCTGTCTTAGATCCACTGCCTGTAAAGCGATCAGGAACCCCAGTTTCCCGAGTGGATGCCAAGTAGATCAGTAGTTTGGGAGCCTGCCCTGGTTTCTGCTGGTACCAAGCCAAGTAGTTGTAGCTACCAGATAAAAGACTCTGGCTGGACTTGCAGCTGATGGTGACCTTCTCTCCTACTGACACAGCCAGGGAGGATGGAGACTGAGTCATCACGATATCTGCACAGGCGCCTGCAATCAGCAATAGAAATGAGATGCATAATATTTTAAAAAAATAGTAACAGTTAAAATTTGTCATTTAATATTTGTGTAATATCATATTGTCAGAGTATTATTGTGTAAGACATAATCTCTCAGAACACACATTGTAAATTTCTTTATACAAAGAATTGACTACAAAAAGATTATAATACTTTAGAATTTCTCACCAGACACCAAGAGCAGCAGAGATATGAGAACCTGGGTTTCTGACATCATGTTGCTCCCCCTGCCTGTCTGCTGTAGCTCAGTTCTTACTGAAAAGGCTTGGATTATAAATTCTATGTTGTTGGCCTGTGCTTGTGTCGTCCATGCAAAGCAGTTAGCAAATACATAAGGAAACGTGTGGGTGTGTATATAAGTGGCTGGTGTTAACAACACTCAAACAGAAATCTATTAGAGACTCTAATAACTACTTTGGTTTAAAGTCCACAACTTTTTTAAATCAGTTTGTTTTGCATAAAATGTTAGATAAGCTATCTAAAATTAACAATACTATGGAAATGATAAAAAAAATATATTCAAAATAACAACAAAAGAAACTTAGAGTAAGAAAAAATTCAATAAAAGAAAGATATGGTGGAGGAAGTAAATGAAGAAAGGCAGAGAGAGATAGAGAAAGAGAAAGAGAAAGAGAAAGAGAAAGAGAGAGAATTTGTTCATTTTCTACTACCTTTAAAACCATACATATATAGAGGGCAATGAACAGTTCCACTGATATTGTGCTCCAGTTTCCAGACTAAACAAAGAGCAGCCCAGAATTCACTGTGTAAATCTTAGATAACATTAAGATTGAGATAAAAGAATCTTAAATATCAAGAAATGGTACCCTCTGAAGAAACAAACAAGTATCATCTGTACAATGATAAGGGAACTGAAACAAGATGATAAATTTTTGAAAATAGAAGAGGAAGAAAACAAACTTGATTTATTTTCAAATAGTCATTGCTGTAGACCAATACTTACCAAGACTGCTTATTTCATAACGCAGTTCTAAGATAATTTACAAATTAACAGTATTGAAAGTAGATGAAAATGGTCTTGCTGACATAATGAAAACTATAAATACCTCTTGAGAAGGGAACACAATCATCCTAAATCAGGCAATAATTTTATAGAGATCAATAGACCACGGCACCAGAGCTGATGCTAAATGAAGAAAAGATGTTTGAGTATGAATGAAAATCAGAAGCAATAACAGAAATCATAGAACATACTTGTACTTCTGATTGGTGAACTCTGAAATAACATATAAGAAGTAAATTATAAACCTAGTATTATGTGTAAAGTACAAGAAGTAGAAATATAAATAAATAAAACATCATGGCAAGAAATTGAGTATCATACCTTTAATCTCAAAACTGGGGAGACATAAACAGCAGGATTATATATTTGAGGCCAGCCTGGGATACAAGTTCTAGGCCAATCTAATCTGTGCATGGAGACAATCTTTCAAAATGTGTGGTATTAATCAAGTCCTTACGAGACAGTTCAGGCATTTGATATCAAAATCCTAGTGGTTATCTGACATTACAATTTTAGCATTAAGCCAAGAATATTATTGAAAATTAAATATACATTTAAGTAACATGCATTTCCCATTTATTTGCATTAATTATATAATTTTATACTTTTAATTTTCATGTAAAAATATTAAATTATTTCTGATAAGAGTATCCAGATCTCTTTTGTCAGCTTCTAATACTATAACATTAGAAGGAGATACGCAACATGTGGATTAAGGAAATTCCCAATCTCAGGTCAAAAATATGACAGATGTGTAACTCTACTCCAATCAGTGTCTAAGAATATGACAGATAAGTACCTGCCCCAGTCATAATCTAACAAGTTCTGCTGTGCTTCAGATCTTTGTAGAACTTTCTACTTTGCTTTGTGACAGCTGCAATAAGATCAGATTGTAGATTCATGTCATTTACTGCTGATCATTCAAATAGAACAAACAGAGACTGGACTACAGAAATCTGAAGGCTACTTCAGTTAAACATGGATTTTCACAGTATGTAAGGGGAGATCATAGAGAATAAAAGGACAGAATTTTTATGTTCTTTTATGTATAGTAGAAAAAGCCAGATTTTCTTTAGTTACTACTTTTCCAACAAACACAGTTTCCACCCTGTGCATTAGATTCCTTGGGCTGTGATTAAAAGTAAACTAACTGCAAACCTACTGGCTGAAAACAACACAGAATAATTTGCTCCCAGCTTTGGAACCACAAAGTCTGAGGTTGATGACCTGGAGCTCCTGTGACACAGCACCCTCTTCCATGGATATCACTGTAAATAGGGACCTAGGGAAGTCATATTCCATTCTCAAAACCAGCATAATGGGGGCTGAGGATTTTGTCATTTATTATGATATAAAAGTCATTCAATCTCAGAAAAGAGGGCTATAGCCTAAAATACAAACCTCCCTATTAAGAGGGTCTAGCTACTATCATGTTACTTATCTTTGGAATATAATAGACAACTGCATGAAATTGTAAAAGAAGAAAAACAATAGAACAACAAGTTACAGCTGAGTTCTGTGCCCTATTGGAAACACAGCTTCACCCAGGCAAAGCCTTATTGGTGCTTTCAGCATGGCAATATGGAGGAAAAGAATAACATTATCCAATCTCTTATAAATGAGTAGAGAAGGATGGCAGTAAAGGAAGCTCCTGAATATCACTAACTTGTGCTCTTCTGAAGTTGGTTAGTGAATTCTAGATGATCTTTTATAGCTTCTAGTTTCTTTTCATTTTGGTATTGAGATAGAAACCAAAGCAAAAACATAAAAATGACTTCATTTCAATGATGAATTAAAAGGACATCAAGGTATGGAAAACAATAAGGTGTACAAGGGTTTTCCCCAACACTATACACTCTCAACTGGAACCCAAAACCCACAGCAGGATAACAGTTGACCCCATCCTTGAGACCTGGACTAAAGAGGCTGCTTCCTGGGCACTGTCAAATTGCTTTTAAAGGTGCTTTGGGCAATTTGCCCTGTGGCTAATGTCCCAATATGCAAATAAGTTGAGAAAAGTTTGACTTGGTGCTCAAACGACACCTACTCTTGTGTCACCCTATGGCAGTTAGGATTTGCAGAGTATTCACTAGAGTATTCTAAGTTGTGTATCTCAGCTGATTTCTTTTGCTTGTCTTTTGTAATTGCTGCATTTTTTTTTATTTTGAGATTCTATCTGTGCTTTCACCACACCACTGTAAAGGATGTGGGTTACAGAAGCACAGTGATTCCTAAGAATTAAACTTTTGAAATTTATTTTAAAAAGAAAACACTCATTTTCATTTAATATACCAACTCCTGCAGCGGTCGGATCAATAAATCACCAGTAATTGATATTTAAACAAATTTAATAACAAAACCAGACTCACAAAACCAAGGTTCCAGCGGGGTAGCCAGCGGAAACAGGAGAGCAAGCGGAAGGGGGCCGCGCAGCCTCTGCCCGCGCACTATATCAGTAAACATACGCCTGAGGGCAGCCCGCCCCCAAGGGGAGGGCTTATCCCTACA